AAAAGTTACTTTCACTTGTAATGTTTCTTAAAAAAAAACTTGTATAATTTTTCTCATTCAAGTTATTAATAACTTATTTTTATTTTAATTAAAAAGAAATTCATCATTTTAGTTAATAAAATGTATAATATAGCATAAAAATGCAGTTTTTATTTATTAAAACACAAAATATAAATGCACTTTATTATTTACAGCTAAAAAAAGGCTAGCTTAACTCATTTTAGACTAAAGTGTTGATGCAAAAACGATTAAAATAGAAATTATCGAATTAAATAGAATTTTTATGATTTTAAAGCATTATTATCTTGTTAATAAAAAATATATGTTATATTAAAAATGATTTTACATTTTTTATTTTTTAAAATATTTTTTTTTCTTTTGTTATATTGGCGAAACAAGTTTCATAAAAAAATAATACCCATCAATATATTATTATTAAAATTAAGAAAACTAGAATTTTAGTTACAAAGTAGATATTTAACTTCTTTTGCAGCTCAGCTACTCATATAATAATTTGTCGCTTTTTTATATAAGATATAAATTTACTTTCGATAATTCTATATGAAACTTGTTGACTTCTGTATTGCTATAACGGACTATTTCGCATTAACCTTCTAATAGAATCGGTAATCTTATAAAAAAAGTTTTATATGTAATTGAAATATTAGAGGATACCATAATCACATAAAATTGTACATACATTGCATAACAAAAATATTCAGACAAAGAGGAGGATCCGGAGAGTCCGAGGATCCTTAGGCATATCGAACTGATTGACGACGAAGCTGCGGAATACGGAATAAAAATCGTCAGGATGAAGGATCGGCTAGTGGCGAAGAAATATGGTTTTCGAAATCCACCAGGCATCACTTACTTTCGCAAGGGTAAAAACATTAATTATGATGGTGACATTGACGACGAGGAGGAGATCCTTGACTGGTTGACCAATCCGGAGAATATGGAACTCACCGATCACATAGAACGTATCAACAAGAAGATGTTTCAGAAAGTGCGACAAACGACCGATTATCTAGCCGTATTTTTTTGTGAGTCAATATATAATTAATATAATATAGCTCAATAAAATTACAATTATATATGCGTTTAGCATTTCTAATACGTCGCACGTTTGTTTAGACAGCAACGACTGCAAACAGTGCGGCCGAGTATTGGCGGAAATCGAACACATCGATGATGAAGCCGACAGCGCCGGTATTAAATTCGTTAAAATCGATGATAAACAATTATCTAAACAATATGGTGTTTTCGCATTACCTGCTATACTGTTCTTCAAGATGGGATCGAAGGAACCAGTTATATACGCAGGTACAAGACAAATTAAGGTGACGGCCCCAGTTATGAATCTCATTTAGGGTTAAAATAATTTTTAATAATTTGTGTAAATTTAACATTTACAAAAAGATCATTGTTAATGATAAAGTGTAAATACTAATTAATAATAAATATATTTTTGAAGAAAAATTATTCCATGTTTAACCGATTATGAATTTGGAAAAATATTAAAAAATGTTTATGTATAAATCTCATTTATAATTCTTTAAAATTGTTTAACTCAATAATATTTAAATGTATGTTGTTTTAGCTTACGTAAGTAATAATGTACTAAGTACACAATCCATTATAATAAGAATATTATAATTTCAAGGAATTATTAAAAAATCCATTTTTTTTCTTAAATATCAGCAAATTTGACCCATAATTAAGATTCAACATAATTGGAACTATCACCTTACACTTTTTTGCTACTGAGATAGATGAAAGTTAAGAAGATTGATTCGGCAGGTGATCTATATGACGAAGAGCAAATTTTACAATGGTTGATGACACAAAAGGATCCATCGGGTGAAATAATCGAGGCTCTGGAAGGCGAAGATCTTTTAAATTTGATACGAGAATCGGAATCTTTGGCCGTATACTTCTGTAAGTTCCTGAATGCTTCGTATAACTTTATAAAGATAAATTATCGAAAAATCACTGTTAATAGCATCGCGCATTCTGTTTTCTTTCTATATCAATTTTATTTTCATTGCATTGTTAATTAATATGTAATTGACGATCATATGGATAGTGATAACGTCAATGTTTTTTATCTACATTTATTTCCTCTATTTATAAACAGTGAGATTGGACAAAAAAACTGCGTTTCATCAAGAAGATTTCCGTAAAAGAGTGACTTTGCGGAATATTGAAGAAATATTGATTTCACGATACTCCTTTTTAAACTTGTGTTTTTAATCTTCCCTCTTCTTAGTCACTCACAATCTTTAGTGAAATTAAACTCATTGTATAATTAATCTTATGTTACATAATTACGATTATAATGAAAAAATTACTAACTGTTCCTAACAAATGTCAATATTTGTTTCCCTCCTAATTCTTTCTATTACGTACTACTTGCTGTCGACTTTCGCTCCGATGCTGTACACCTTGTGTACTGATGCCGTAGGGAACAGAACGCTTTGCGACATGTGCCAATCAAAAACGTACCGCAAGCAGATGCGCCACAAGGAACACAGGATTGCGGAACATGCAGAGGCAGCCGAACACCTCGATGGTACAACAGATCAAAGCAAGATGAAAATTTATCGATGCCCTAAGCTTCCTGACTGTCGTCTACGTCTTTTTCTACGTCTTTCCCTC